TGACTTTGATATTCTAGCCATCTTTTGGAAGAAAGTAACTCATAAACTACATTACAATCCATTAAGATTGATTGATAGTATAGCAGGGGGAAATGCATGCCATGGGTGGGGGTCATTCATAAGAAAGGATATAAGGTTGTCCAAGAATTTGGCTTTTTTGGCAAGACTGGGAAATGTCCAGACAAAGGGGCATGGATTGGGCATTCCAAGACAGAAGACTCATGAAAATGTGCTGAGTCTTAAAGGACCTTCCAGCTGAGGAGGTCCCTGGGACAGAGGAAGAATTGCAGATGCAGCAGGTATAATGGCTGGAGCAATCCAAAGGGCTTTGGAAGAAGAAACCACACGAACCAGGACAAAATTGTTTACCATGGGAGTGATATGGCCAGACTCTAGTTTTCAGGTATAATTTTTGCAATCTACATGGAAAATTATGTGTGATAGGACAGAGTGACCTGTGGCCAAAAGATCATCCAGCATTCAGATGACAAATGATGAGGGCATTTCTTGAGCCATAGCAGAGGAGCTAGAGTGAGGGAGTGAGATACGGTAAGTAGAATCCACTGCCAACTTGATGTGTGCTGTGAGTGGGGACTGCAGCGTCTTTATGGAGCTACTGCGTGGTCACTAGTGTTGAACAGAATAGAAAACATGGGAACAGAACTAGTTTTGTAGGTGAAAGTGAAACATATATTTTGAGATCTGGAAAATTTTGGGTGCCTTGGAATATTACTATAGTTTGGATGAGTATCCCCAAACGTTCAAGTATTACTACAGTATTGATCCCCAGGGTGGTGATAGTGTTGGTGGGAGGTGCTTTGGGTATTTAGGAGGCAAAGCCTTATGGGAGGTGCTTAGATCATCAGGGTGTGCCCTTGAAGAGGATTACACAGCCCTCATCCCTCCATCTTAAACTGTCTCATGACTCATGATGTAAGTAAATTGCTCCACAAGTGCTTCTTCCATGATGTACTGCTTTCACCAGAGGCCTGCATCAATGAGCTGCTGCAGCTTAGACTGAAACTTTCAGAACCGTGCTTAAATGAACCCTCTCTCTTTATATGCCAGTTTACCTGGTATATTATTATAGCAACATGAAACTGACTAATACAAACATTAAGTCTAAGTCTATTAGCGTAAAAGTGTGTGTGACCTTCTTTTCTTTAAATCAATATATTTTTCCATTATCTTAGGGAAGAATGGGGAAAATGATGCCACAAGAAGGTCAATGAAACAAGCAAAGACTAAGGATGAGAAAAGGAATACCTTTTCTGAGTAGACCCACACAAACAACTGTCCAATTTCTCTCTTTGCCCCAGCACCTTTCACATTTCATATGGACAACCCTCTCCTTCTCCTAGTGAAAATTATGCACTTGCAGCTTACTTTTCATTCCTATTTTTAAAGCCACATCTTGGATAGTAGCTCATTTTTTTCTGGAATATATCTTCTATTATTTTCCCTTAAGACATTTGAAACATTTTATAGCTTAAATCTAGTAGATGTTTCCTGGGAACTGCGTCCAGAAGAGAAATGAGTGAACCATATAGTCAGAATCCTGCGAAGGGGCTCTGCTGACTATTTGTGGAAAGATTGTGAAGATGAAATGAAATGCAGGGAGATACAGCTGAAGGCACAGGTACCAGGGGAGAGAGGGAGGGGGTGTGCTTGCTGAGACCTTATGCCCTTGAGAAAAAGTAAAGGAGTCAGTCCCTCAAGGCACTGTTGCCCAGGCTTCATCTGGTGGTTTACACCTTCATGATTTCTATAAGGTCTCCATCTGCCCAATTATTTATTTAACCTCCTTTTCTCTAAATCAATTCACATTTTTAAGCCTAAAAAAACATATGCCAAATAGGAATATCACTTTGAGATGAGAACCTGCTTCCCTTACCATAAATATTTAAGAGGATTAGTTTTTAAAGTTAAAAGTTTCCATAAAGAAATTACAAATCATTACATTGTGGCTAGATATTTTTGCTTGCCCAGGGCTAGGAACCTGAGAACTGCTTTCTCTTTGCAAAGAAATGTGATATGCAAGCATTAGAAAGGATTTAAAGACATTCTAGCGCTGAACACAAATAGTCCCCTCCAGGTAATTGGAAGGATTGAAATAAATCTGAAAAGAGAACAACTTTCCCACCATGTAATTCAATGCTGTTTAATCTCGGGTGCCAAGACTCAGCCATTTGGATAAATTGTCCTAGGATTAAAGCTAAAGAGAGGTGAGGAAAGCCAGGGGAGACTGTACAGCTGGGAGCCAGCTTAAGGGCTAGAGCCTGTCCCTACTCTTGTCTCTTGGAGCTCAGTTTTTAAAAATGCAAACAAATGGAAAGTCAAAGGAGTCTTTCTCGCGGGCGTATGAGATCCCAGAAGTTCTGGAGAGCCCTGCAGGGGATCTTTGGCATCGCTCTTGGTGCTTTCCTCCTTGGTGATGTAGGGAGTGGAGGGAATGAGTTGCATAGAACCAGCTGACCTCACGAGTCTTGGTAGGAGCAAACAGCAGAGCCATAGCCTTTGGCCGACAGGGCCTGTGGGAAATCCACTTGGGAAATCATATGTGTTGCTAACTTAACAGTAAGAACTCTTGAGGAGAAGGCCCAGTGGGCAATCCATCATGGGCCCACGTGCTTTATGTACAGTGACGTGCACTGGGCCCCTCCTTCAGGGAGTGACATTGTGACTTAACAAGGCCTCGGGTTGAGCATTTCACATCACTTACTCATTAGCTTCTCAGATCTGACTTTCCAGGACATAACACAAGTTTGAAGTCACTTGAAATATATATATGTATATATTTAAAATGACAACTTTCATTTTCCCACCATTGCTATGATGGGGATGTTGTTCTGATCTCTTTGCTTTCATCAGATTAATTGCCCATTCCTTTGCGGTGGCTATGATGGAAGGATAGGGATACTGTCTGAGCGAACAGCCTGCCTTTGAATGGCAATGAGGGATATATGCAAATGGTGTATGTTCTTTTGAAAAGGAAGAGTATGTGAAGGTTTGCTATCCAATCCAGGAGGGCAACTTAATTTAGAATGTTTGCTTGTGCTGTTTGCATTAAGCGCACACACACACACAAAAAGAGAGCAAACATTCTCAATCTTGTTGGAAGGTCACAGTTTAACTAAATATTGTCACTTTCAATTCATCTTGGAATAACAAAATGTCCCAACTTCATGGGGACCATCTAATTAAAAGCTCTCATTTTTCAGATGAAAAATTTCAGAGGCCAGAAATGACTTGTTCAGCACCAAGTCATGAAACACATGGGAACCTGGGACATAGCTCGCTGCCCCTTTGCTTACATAAGCCAAATAAAAAAGCATTTCATGGTAACAGCAAAGACATCATCTGGCTACTGAAGAAAGATTATCTAAAATTTAAATGGGGGTTAGTTCGAATCAATTATTCCTGCTTATAATAAGTACTTTTTTTGTCTTCCCTATCTCTGTAGATGTTTAATAATTTTTGTCCTCCTAGTGATTAGAGAATTTACTCGACATAGACCCATAAAAAGAGAAGAGGAAGAAAATGATAGCAGTGGGTGGGACTGCCTACTGATATCTTCCAGGGCTTCAAAATTTCCCTCAGCCACTTTTTGGTGCAGGGACTTCTCATTGGTATGAAAGGCATTTGTATACATGTTTGGGGGAAGATTGAGCAGTCAAGTCTTCTGTCATTTGGTGAAAACACATGATCCAGTGGTTCCTCCACATAAGGACATGACAGTTTTGATGAGAAGACACCCAGGACCCTGCTAAGTATAAGCACTCCCTGACTTGCAAGCACATGGTGTCTTACTAGGAGCAATCTCAGGATGCTGCCAGAGAGAATGAGAAATTTTTGAAAGAAGAGGTAAGCAACCCAATTGGGCTGCAATTTTCTCAGACCCTTAGCTGCCATTCTCATTGAAAAGAGAAAAGAAATGTGGAAAGCAAAACCATAAACTTTTGTCAGACAAAATTAGATGTCATCAACCGAAACAGCTACTTTTGACCATTTTTCCACGGTACCACCCAAAGTGGGCTTCCAGCAGAGGAGACATTCATCTTTCTGGTAATAACAGTAATGACCCTTTGTGTCTGTGCAGAGGTGTGCAGTGACAAAAGACTTTCACACATATTATCTCACTTGGCTTTTATGGCAGATCTGAATAGGGATCACTGTTACCACTCTACAGATGAGGAAACTGAGCAAGGTCAGCGAACTGACATTCGAGCTGGGAGTTCAAATATAGACCTTTGGACTCTAAGCTTGGTGCTTTTACTATTATATGCATTTCTTATCTATCAGTCATAAAAGTCTACTGCAGCACACTTGATGCATTCTGGAAGGAGAGGGTGTATGCAGAAATAAACACAGAACAAAACCTGTGCTAGGCACAGGTTTTTTTTTTTTTTTTTTTTTTTTGTGGAACCAGGGATTGAACTCAGACCCTTGTGCTTGCCAGGCAAGTGCTTATTCCACTGAGCCATCTCCCCGGCCCCTAGGCACAGGTTTTTGACATATAGTGCTTGGCATAGAAGAGTTGCTATGGAGGGGGAAGCAAGGTAGTGCAGTAACTGAGATCACATATTTTGGAATTAGGAAAATATGGATATAAGTCCTGAGTCTGGTCTATTCTGCTCTTAATCAATACTACACATGATCTGGACCAGCAGGTTAACTTCTCTGAGGATTGTAACACACACCTCACTATAGGATGCAGATGCTGAACACACGCATTGCCATATGTGGTGCCGGCATCCAGAGTGTTGTAACTGTAAGGTCAGTTACGTCCAGAGGATCTGCTCATGGACCAAACATAAGGAAACAAAGGAACCCATGTCTAGGAACTAGATGTTAACATTTCATAGTTAAACACTGTATGTTTTAAGTTTCAGATTTCATCTTTTCCTCTCTGTTCACTTCTTTAAGAGAGTTTACTAGAGTGTTCAGGGGACCCTGCCGCTGATATGCTCTGCTAAGCAAGCCTCATCTTGGCCAGGTACCTGTATATGATGCACGCTGTGTTCTGGCAGGTACTGCAGTTGTTGAGATCTTGGCCAGTTCGATAAAAGTTGCGCCTGCAAGATAGAACATTTGCTGAATAAATCTATGGGCAAAAGCCACGTGAGACAAATACACCCTACCTGCCATCCCTTAGTCCCTACAACATGGCATTTACGATGTCCCAAAGTTACATGACCATTACCAACCAAGAAACCTTACATTCCAACAGGGCTTTGTGTGCGTTTAGATATTTCAAATGTGAGGTATTCTCCTACTCACAGCAATTATGTAAGATGGATTTTGGAAGTGAGCAGAGAATGATTATCAAGATTCCTGACCTCTTGGTTCAGTGCATGTCTTTTTCTATCATGCCAGTGTCTTTTTACCCAAGGTGATATGGGTTCTGAGGCCTAACTGCAAATGCCAGGTCATTACTTCTCTTTCTGATGCTTTTGGAAGAGCTGTAGCCATGGGTTCTTCTGGATCTTTAGCGAGTGACTTCTGGAGGAACAGGCCATCTACCCCTACCCCAATCACTGCCTGCTCTTCCCTACACGGGGGCTGAGTCACTCAGGACAGTGTTTTGTGAGTTTTCCCTCTCAGCAGAATTGTGGTCTCATTTCAGTTCCCACAGTTGGTCAGCCACAGAATGGCACAGGTCATCAAAGTGCTCCACCAACGGGGTGCTCAGAAGGAAATTTAGTAACCAGGGCAAGGCCTTTGATAGACATACCAGCACTGCCAGAAGTACTGTGCAAATTATGGAACTCAACTATGGAGGTGGCATAGAGGACATCCCTTCCTGCTGTTATTTTCTCCCAACCTTTATCAACTGGACCCTCAACTCTGTAACTTATTTTTGATTCTTCAGCTTCATTATTCCCCATCCCCAGTCTGTTGATACCTGTAAACAAGCACCAAAAATGAAAAAAAAAAATCCACATAGAAATCTACCTGTGATAGTTAAATTGGATTGTCAATTTGGTTGGCTTGAGAGATGCGAGGAGAGTAATAGAATGTGCTTCTCTGTGTGTGTGGGGGGGTAGGTCTGGGTGGGTGGGTCATGAGAGTGTGACCCTAAGAACTGTGTCTGGTTCCTGGCTCCTTTCCTTCCTCGATGGCTCCTTTCCTGTAGGTGTGCTTCCTGGTCACCAGTGCTAAGGGACTTCTCTCTACCGTATACTTCTACAGTGTTCTCACCTCGGGGCCAGCCAGCTTTGAAAACCATGAGTCAAAAATAAACATTGCATTCATCCAGTTGTGTATATTAGGATTTGGGCACAGCAATGGAAGGCTGATTATTACACTATCCAAGCCCACCAAATCCTAGAATTAAATGAAATCGAATCAGAGAAAGGGGAAAATATAAGTTCTGATCGGGAGAAACAAGGAGCTTCTAACATTTTGGCAATACTGCATTCATGGAAACCAGTGCTTTTGTTCTCTGCCCTGGTGCTGGCAAATGACTTCTCAGTAGTTTTTAATATTAAGAAAATTCACCTTACCCTTCAGTGAGAGCTCGAGCTTTCTCCAGGTCTTGAATTACATTCAAAAGGACTTTAATTTTCTCTTGGTTTGAGTGCAGAGATTCTTCCACAGATTGCAGCCGGCCTTGGAGGTCACAGAGTTCTCCCCGTGCCAAGTGAATCTGATTAAAGTCACTAATCTCCCTGTTGCTCTGAATTTTGGTCTCACTCTTTGGAAGAGAGGGTGAGAGGTGCTCGCTTCCAGGACAGTTCTGGAGTTCTGGGGTATCCAACTGAATGGGGTTCCTTGCCATCTCCTGACCCAAAGGGGCAGATGTTGATGCACTACTACTTTTGAGTGACACCGGATTCTGGTGACTGTCATTTGATGTAGAATAGTCTGAGGCTCTTATTGAATGAGCTGTTGGGATGTGGGACCCTGGCGCAGGGGAACTGCGAGTCCGTGGAGGTGAGGGAATGCATGTTTCCTTTAACTGAGATGACAGTGGGCCAAGACCTTTGTCATTAGAGTTGTCTTTGGGCAAAAGCGATTTGGGTTTGAGTTTCCCCATGCCTGGCATGTTGTTGGCACCACTGGTGGCATTTAAGCAGGAGGAGAATCTTTCTAAATCTGACCTCAGTATCTTTTTATCACCTGGACACACGTCAGCCAGAGGGGGCACTGAGTTCCTTATTTCAGCCAACCTGTCTGGGCTGAGCGTGGACTCCTTAGCTTCCCAGGAAGGACTGTGATAGATATCTTCTGGGACCTGGATGGCAGCTGTGGCTTTCTCTGAGCCCCTCCAAGTCGCAGCTTCCAAGCATATGCTAACAGGCCCATTGCTTTGCAACTTGGGCAACCTAGGGAGGAATGGGTGGGATACTTTGAGCCGTTGAGGGCCATCCTCAAGATGCTGGGCCAGCCGTAAGTAGGCAAGGTCAGGAGATACTATGTCCTGTTCAGAGAAGTTGCCGTTGACCTGGATGGCACTTTGGGCGACAGTTGGCATTTCCACTAGAGACTTGCTGGATGTGAGTTTCTTCCTTCTGAAAACTGGGAAATGCTTCCTGAGACTGGGGGAGGTTTGGATTGCGATGTTCCGAAAGCCCCCTGCCTTCTGGGCCCGGGGAAAGGACAGAGAGTAGGTGGGGGGGTGATGGTGCCTGGATGCTGGCGTCTTCCCCATCTCAGTCGGGTCTTCAGGAGTTTGGAAGTCAACCTCGGCTAGGCTAGTTTGATGCTTCACGGTCCCATCTTCCTTGAATCGCACTTGCTGGGATTTGCTCCTGCGGTGGTGGGGTTGTTTCACAAGCTCCACCGACTCGAGGCTGTTCCGCTTTAAGAGCACAGGTCTCACTTTCATACTTTGCTGGGCCATTGAGCCTCAGTGGAAAGGAAGAGAACCATATACTTCTCTTGGGCGCATCTCCCTTAGGTCTTTGGAGCAGTATCTATTGATGGCATCTCAGACCAGGAGAACTGCCATCTAGGATGGAGTGGTCCACTCCTTTTAGTATAGGAAGCCCTGACAGCCATCCCCAGCATATGGATTCCACTTGGGTACTCTCTGAAATAATTCCCCTGAAGTTAAAATATTCCACTGCAATCGTAATTGCTACTTAGGTAAACAGTGAGTTAGGATAACTATTAAACATCTGGTCTACCAAGAGAGATGGTAGGCTATTTAAAAAGATCAGGCTAGGGGAGGCAGGTCTGATCCCAGAAGAAATTTGCTATGTTGAAGAAAAAAACAATCAAAGTTCTGTTTGTAGGATAGTGCCACACTCCCAAAGTGTGTACCCTGAAAGAATCCTACTATCTAGAACATACCCCTTCTTTTCCCAAAGCAGCAATTTCCAGTGTAAAACTATGGGAAAGTCAAAGACATCTTCTTTCCAGAGCATTTAAATAGGTAGAGAAATAAATGACCTTGGAGTTTGCTTCGGTGATGATACACGCTGTTCCTAAGGGAACATCCTCATATATGTCAATCACAAATTCTTCCTTTGGGGCCATCATTTTCTTTCATGCTATTCCTCTGTTCTGCAATGAGGGAAACTTGTCTTCTTAAATAGCCTCACAAAACCCAGTAGGGTATGACCAGGACAGGACAGAGGCATCAGAGGAATTCAGAGGGCAGACAGAGTTTCTGGACAGGGCATCTTGGCTGAAGTTCACATGTGAGCAAGATTGGCCATGCCTGCTTCTTCTGGGATGTGGAGCCATTCACAGTGCTCACTTGGTCTGTGGCATGGCATCGGAGACCAGCGGTCAGCAAGCAGGCAAGGAGGAGCTGAAAAGGAAGAGGCCACAGTCACCAAATTCCAACCTCCGAGATGAGTATTTCTGAGTGCAGGGCCTTAGGAACAAGTCAGTTCTACTGCCCTTCTTTGTGTACTCTTGGGGGGCTCCCACTGTGGGTGATGGGTCCTGCAGCAAAACGCCCACCTGGGTCCTTTCCTCCATCCCCTCCCAGTCATTATCCAGCCGACTGCTAGTCATCTGTAAGGTCCCGTTTTAAATGTCACTTCCTCAAGTAGCCGTTCAGTCATTCTGTCCTCACCCACATCACCAGAGCGAGAGAATATTTTAGAATTCCAGCTCGAAAATATAGGACTCTGCTTTTGCTTTCTTACCACATCCTTCATGGCACAAGTTGCCCCTGTCCTTACATAATCATTTGAATATATGTAGTGTATATTGCCCCACCTCCATGTACACTCCATGTTCATGGGGCTGAAGCCAGCCCAGTCACAACTAAGATATTCCCAGTCCACCTTGTCTGCTCACTGTAGATTCTCAGTGAGCGTTTGTTGAATATTGGAGCATGGAGTAGAAGGCAGAGTGTCTGAGGAGGGCCTGAGTATGGGCAGGGAAGCCAGAGGCTCTGGGTGTCCTGCAGGGGCAAGAGGACCTAGGCTTCTCCCTGATATGTCTGTGACATTTACTTAAGGATGAGATTTTCCCCTAACATCTTCATTTTTATTGCTTTTTCAAGAGATAAATGTGCATGAAATCCTCTGAGGAACCTGTCTCTTGTAACAATAACAACCACCATTTATTGGACATGCTGAGGGCTTTATACACATTAATCATAAAGCCTCATGTTTACTGGGTGCTCCCTAATGTGACAGGTACTGTTCTAAGCACTTTCTAAGTCTCAACTCATTTATCACAAAATCCCTCTGAAGCAAAGGATTCTGTCATTGTCTCCATTTTGCAGTTGAAGAAGCTGAGGCCCAGAAAGGTTAGGTAATGTGCCCAAAGATGTGCAGCGAATGACAGAGCTAAGGCTGAGCCTAAACAGTCTGGGCCTGCACCCCAAAGGCTTCGCAGCATTGTGTTAGCTCACTTAGCCCATATAGCAGATCTGTGATATGTCCCCTTCTCCTGTGGGCTGATGAGGAACATGGGCACAGGAAGGATCACTTAACTCATGCAGGAGCTAGAATTTGAACCTAGGAGATTTTGTCTCTGCCTGATTGGATTCTAACTGGTACATGGACAAATAGCATCAGTGATTTGAGAATAAGGTTTAAGACACTCACCCATCTGAGAGATGCCTTGCCAGGGTAAAACATACCAAAGAGTTTGACCTAAGTCATGGGACCTGGGGTATGTGAGTTCGAACCTTCCTGGTTGTGTTTTGGATGCCACTGAGAGAGTATTGTCTGCAGCATGTAGCATTAATGTACAGATCAAAATCTCTGGGTTTCTTTGAGCAAGTGTCCTTTTGCCCCACAGTTCAGGGACTATTGATAGCATTTTCTATACTGTTGTTTATGGGCCTCTGAATCGGGTACAACCATGGAATTGCTAAGCAATGCCCAGGACAACTTTGTTTTTCACTGCCCCCAGCTTTCTTTAGAGTATTCTATTGGCTTCCTAGGCCAATAGAGAAACTGTGGCAGGTTGTGAGGGGGACCCAGATCCATCTAAAAGGCAAATAAACTGTCCACTTGTCATCAGCCCTTGCAACAAACTACCCTCTATTTTGTAGGTGTGCCTTAGATGTGGCTTCAGACCCTGTCCTAACTCATTGAAGAATTTATGTTTCTCATGAGTGTGGACTCAAACACAAGGGTCTGATGACATGTCTATAAGACAACGGCTGTGGTGTCTTAGCCTATAGCCCAGTGGCCAGTCAGCCAGCATGCATTTCCCATATGACTGCCGTGACTCTCCTACAACCAGAGGAGGGTATGGATGTTCTTGTTTCTGGGGAGAGGAAGCATAGCTTTCAGCAAGGGGCTTGGGGCTCTGTAACTCTAGATGTGGCTGAACCACCTACAGCTTATCCAAGAGCAGGTAGAGCCACTCCTAAGATTTGGAAGAAGTAGTTAGGGGGAGCTACCTCACTTGACTCTCCTGTCTGGAAAGCAGAGCTAACCTTTGAGAGAACTGTCACATAATTTGCTAGGGAGATGACCCTGCTAGTGCTGGAGGCCCCAGTCACTCTGCACAATAGTCCCCAAAACTCCACTTTTAAAATCTGTTCCGTGTTTCAGTGACTTTGATTAGGATTTTCAGGTGCAGAAGAAACTGATTGTCCACCCCTTCATTTCATAACGAAGTCCTTTCTTTCTGTGTCCTCCTCCTCAGGTAGTAATTAAGCCTGTTGGAATACTTGTAGGGGCAAGGCACACACCACTTGTCCTACAGGCAACTAGTAAGTGTTTTTATTAATAGTGGTGCATATGTATTAAAAACTAACTGTTGCCAAGTACTATGTTGGCACTTGACATTTAATCATCAAGATAACTTCCTGTCTGTTATCATCATTCTGCTGTGAGCTATTGAGATCCGAGTGTCATACTTTTCACCCTTGTTCTACGGAGCTTAAATATCTGTATATCTGCTTTTGGGGGATTTCTTTGCCTAATTATTCTTTCCTTCTCCTCTTTAACTGTTCATCAGTGCCTTGTTTTAAGAATGTTAACTCCCACAAGCTATGGTTCTATGAAGCCGGTTCTCATAAGCACCAGTGTCTAGTGAATATTGATGATATGCCAGACATTGTGATAGGAGCTTTTTATTTGCTCTCTTATTTAATCCTGTAATACTCTTACAGGCAGATGCTGTCAGTTACCCAGTTTATAAAAAAGGAAACTGAGGTGCAGAAGGGTAAGGTAATTTGTCCCAAGTTGCTCACCTGGCAAATGACAGCACTGACATTCAGAGAAGCTGCTGTTGACCTGGATAGCACTTTGGAAGTAGGCTGTTGGCATTTCCACTAGAGACTTGCTGGATGTGAGTTTCTCCCTTCTGAAAACTAGGAAAATGCTTCCTGAGACTGGGGGAGGTTTGTATTGTGATGTTCTGAAAGCCCCCTACCTTCCAGGCCCAGGGAAAGGGCAGAGAGTAGGTGGGGGATGATGGTGCCTCTATGCTAGTATCTTCCTCCATCTCAGCTGGGGAATCCACAGTCTGACGTGAACAAGGTTCTTTTTTTCAAAATTTGGTACAGGGTCTCACTGCAACTATGAGTTGCAGTTCCAACTCATAGTGATCCTCCTGTCTCAGCCTCCCAAACTGTGGGGTTACAGGAGTGCATCACCACACCCAGACTCGGTGGTCAGCTTAGCATGGGGCCAGCATGGCATGTGGCACCAGGGATAGAACCCAGGTCCTTGTGCTTGCCAGGCAGGCACTTAGACCACTGAGCTATCTCTGCAGCCCTGAAACAAGACTCTTAATGCTAGGCTTTTTTTGCCTTTACCCATCTGGAAAGGAGTAACCAGCCTGTGCAAGTTCACAGCAGTGTTCAAACTCCCTCCCCCACTGTCCTTCAGAAGGCAGCTGTTCCTCTGATTTTAGCCCTGCCTTTTTTCCAGGAAATTAGTAAACACATTAGATCTTTACTTTTGCTACTTACAAACTGTTGGTTTCATAAAGATACTCTATATTCATTTCAAAAATTCAAATAATGTGCATTTCTGCTGGTTTATGGAAAGAAGCAGTTAATACTTTAATTTGTTTCATCTCCATTTTTCAGTTGTTTGTACTTTTCTCTTCTTAATTTCTTACACATTTCTTTCTTTTTTTTTTTCTTCTTCCAATTGTACATGCTTATACCTGGTAATATGAATAACGAGTGGGAATACAACAGTATGTATTGCAACAGATACTGTGAAATTCATATTACTTTAAGTGAAATTTTATATCACTTGTAATTTTTCTGTTTTAATTCTAATTTGTACTCTCTTTAAAAAATAAAAAGTAGAAAATTTTAAAAATTTCAAATAATGTAAAGTTTTTGAAAACAAAGAAAAGGGGCTGGGGAGATAGCTCAGTTGAATAAGCACTTGTCTGGCAAGCTCAAGGGCCTGAGTTTGATTCTCAGTTCTGCCAAAAAAAAAAGAAAAGAAAGAAAAATAT